GATATATTTTGACTTTGACTTTTAAATTTGTTTTTTCCTTCAAATTTCAGGTGTATAAAAGTGGCAATTGTCCATGATATTGCAGAAGATAACATCTTTGTATTTAAATTTTTTTATTGAGTTTTTCATTACGCATTCTTTTGTTGTGATGAGTATATTGAAGAAAAACAGTAATAATGAGAATTTTGAGTAAATTGTTATATAATAATTAATTGGGCAAAGCTTTTTGTCATGAGCCTACCTGTAATGGGATTTCAAATTAGATGTAATTATTTATTTTCATTTGTTTTCATGTATTATCTAAATTGTTAAATTCTTCATGCTCAATTGGAAAAGGAAAAGAAAGAAGAGTTATACTTAGCAATTCATATTCATTATGCAACAACAGGTGAACTCACAAGTTATGATATACACTAATCAAGAGACTTGAGAACTAAATTGAAAGGTGCTTGATCATATGTTTAATTCCTGTTAATTCATTGTTATTGGTTTATTTGTTTTTCAAAGGTATTTTGATATGATTGTTCCTGTTATGATTTTTTTTAATTGATTTTTTAATTGCAGGTGACTGATCCACCTTACAAATGTTGGGATTGTGCTGTTTTTCTATGCGTGTTGATGGTTGGCTCTTTCATTCTAAATTGGATGATTAATTTTTCTTCTTTTTTATTTATTTAAAGCTAGGATGGTTACTCTTTTGTACCAAAATGTTCACTCAGTTATAATACTAATTTAGACATATTCTTTTATTAAAGGTTGCCTCATTTTAATTCACTGTACATGTATTATTTTAGCGTAAATATCTTTGTTTATGTTGTACACAACATTTTTATATTATAAATTTGCTATTTAAACTTTAATTATGAAGTTTGCCAAAATTGTAATTTGCTATTTCGACTTATGTGTAAAGTTTTATATTGCAATGAAATTGTTGTCATTTTGAATTAATTTATTACAGTTGATTTCTGTAGCAGTGAAATTGTTACTATTTTGAATTGATTTATTTTAATTAATTTTTGTAAAGTATATAATACCAACATTATTTACACCGTGCCTTCAGGCACGGGCATTCACTAGTAATTTATATGTAAACAAATAAATGATTTTTCAAACATCATTTATTTTGGCACACAAAACAAATATAACAACATCTTTCTTAAAAACTCCCAATTTCTAGATATTCTCACCAAAACCACTCATCTTCATTTATTGAAAGAAAGTCACAAAAAATATCTCTTTTCAATACTCATAATTCAAAACCCTCAATTTCTATTTTAAAAGGAATAAGAAAGTAAACTCATTTTTAAAAAAATTCTCTTATCTTCTTGAATCAACAATCAATTTTCAAAACAAATTAAAGGATGATTTCGAAAATCATCTAGATCTTGCAAAAACATATATATAACTCAAAGAAAATCCCTACTTATTAAATATTACCATTTCCATCCTACTATGTCAAATGTTATGGTATAATCTTAATAACACACTTTTAACCATAACGGATAGAACCCTTTAACAAAAACTAATTTAATCCACCAAATTAGTAAGTTTATTATATTAAAAAATTTTCAAATTAATAATACTAAACCTAACTTCACATGCCTCATCCCTCAAATATAACTATATTTCAACATAACCATTTTTCATGCAAAACTATTTAAAGAAGTAATATTTTTACCAAATTATCTACTAATAACAATTTCACAATTTTTTCTAAAATTACTTAACCAACATAATATTTATATCAAAAATTATGAAATATGCCCAATAGTAATATTTTCAAGGTTATGAGTTTGAAAGTCCACATTTCACATTTTAATTTTCATAAAAATAAACACAACTTAATCATCAACATATCATATTTTATAAAATATCATGAATATAACACTTTTAGAGTTTTTAATCCCAAAACAATTCTATAATTCCTACTTAAGCATTTATTCCATATTTCTCAACATCAATTTATTTTTCTTCTCAAAAATAAATTCCAAAACTCAAAGATGAGATAAATATTTCAACATTATTTTTCCAAAATAAATTATCTAATCATGATATGAGGTAGATACAACTCATACAACTATTAATTATATTTCATTTTCGAATTTGTAACAAGTATTTCCAACACAAATATGATTTTTTTTAAATCAATTTCAAAATAACAATATTCTTAACACTTCAACCTAATTTTTCTTCCAAAAATTACCAAACAAAAATTTGAAAAAAAAATATATATGCAATACCACTTATAATGATATATTTTTTCAAAATAACCATAAAATAGCTTTAATGTAAAAATATGAAGAAAATCTCTACCTTAAATAATGAAGAATAGTAGATCTAGAAGGCATATCTTGCCCGATCATGAATCCGAGACTACCATTGCGAAGATCACGATGAGCTTTTCGACTTTCATTTGCAAAGTTTTTGCAAAATCTCACTCTAAAAACTCCCATTTAAAGCTCAAAGTTTGAGCATAACTGGTGAAAAAAGAAAGGGGGAAAGAGAAGGATAGAGAAGCAGAGGGTCTGCAACCCAAGCAAAACAAATGAAATGAAATGGAAAGGAGGAAGGAATGATGGCAAGGGGACAAAAAGAGGGCCACTCATATGGGTTTGTTTCTTAAAATTTGATTTTTCTTAAAAAATATAATTTTTGTAATAATACCTCGAAATTTTATAATATAAATTATAAAATAATATAATTTTTCTCACCACAAAATATAATATTTTTGTACACCACAAAATATAATATTTTGATCACTACGAAATATACACATTTTTATTCTTTATAAAATATATAATTTTTCGCCATATGGTGAGCACCATACAATCAACTATCAAATATTTATTATAATCCTATATAATAAATAATAACAACTCCTAAGGTAGTTACTACCAATCACCTAATTAAAAATGGCCAAACAATTAAACATGAGTCATTAAATAAACTCAAATTAAATTAAATCTAAATCATGGGTCTCAGCCACAAGTTAAATATGATTCAATTATATACCAAAATAGTCTCAACAAATTTATCTCAAATCGTGGTCTGAACACCCAAAACTCAATTTCAAATTTTGATATAAATTAAACTGAACACCAATCAGTTCGTGAATTTCATAAAATAAATACTCATCATTTAATTCTTAAATTTTTATCCAACGTGCTAGACGCATATGAGAACAACATATAAAAATTTCATAATTTTCTGAGATCGAAAACTATTTTTAAAAAATACAAAACTGAACTATTTTTGCACAAAATTTACACAGCAATCAAATTCAAAAATTTGCTCAATTAAATTATGCATTGGTTATTTTTAATTTTTTTTTGGGTCATTATAATATCTATCTATTTTTTTTTTATTTAAAAAAACAAAGGTTAAAAAGTCGACTTTTAGGGTTGTTTTGAAAAATTGATTAAAAGTTGATTTTTTGACTTTTGTTGACTTTTTAAAAAAAAAAAATGTAAAAAAATAAAAAATGATGCGATCTAAAATAAATAAAAAATTAAAATTTAACTTTAAAGTTTCTAAATTAAGCCTTAATTTACTTCTCAAAATAAACCCAAGGAGATAATTTAGTAATAATTTAAACGGCAAAGTACACTAACAGTCTTTATAGTTTGGAACTCGTGTTACTTTAGTTCATAACTTTTCAATTGTGACACATTTGACTCTGGATTTTGAATCTTGTTCCAAATAAGGACAATTGAAGGTATCATTGCTCAATTTCAAGGAAAAAATTGTCAATTTGATAAAATATAAACTAATTTGACAAAAATAAATGTTAAAAAAATAATTTTAAATTTTTTAAAGTTATTTATACCTTGCAAAGATAAAATTATGTAAAATTGATAAATCTTTTAAAAATTTATTTATTTATTTTTTTACCAAATTAATTTTTGTTATGTGTTTGGATGGTGATTATGTAATATGTGATTGTTTTTAATTTCATTAAATTACTTTTTATTTTTTCAAAAGTCAAATAAGATGACAACTTTGATATCATTATTAAACCAATCCATTAAATTAAAAAATTCAAAACTAAAAACATTTCATATATTAAATATCAAATATATCGATTACAAATTAAAAGCCTAACAACCATTCATTACATGATTATCATCTAAACATATAATAAAAATTAATTTGGTAATAAATAAATGTGTAAAAGATTTATCAATTTTGCATAATTTTATCTTTGGTGGATAAAAATAATTTTTTAAAATTTAAAAATATTTTTTTGACATTTATTTTTATCAAATTAATTTATATTTACTAAATTGACAACTTTGCTCTTAAAATTAAATAATAGTATATTCAATTGTCCTTATTTAAAATAAGATTCAAAATTCAAAATCAAATGTGTTATAATTAAAAAGTCAAAAATTAAAATGATACGAAACTTAAATATAAGGAGTATTAGTATAATTCACTCTAATTTAAAAGTATAAAGTGTGATAATTCCTAATAATAATAAGGAAAAAGATTGGTAACTCGAGAAATTGGCTCGAAAAATGGCTCGAAAGAGAAGAGAGGGGAAGAGAAGGAGAGAGGGAGAAAGAGAGAGGAGAGGTCGTCGCAGCTCCCCGCCGTCGTCGCAGCTCCCCTTCAGTCCTTCTTCTTCCTCCTCCATTGCAGCCCCGCCTCAGCTCGTCGCAGCCTCGCCTCCAGCCCTGCCTCCTCCTCCAGCTCCATTTTTATGAACCCCTCCCCTCCACTTCTCCTTCTTCCTCCTCCTTCCGATCTGCAGACCCACCCTTCTTCTTCTTTTCCACCCTTCTTCTTCTTCTCTCTTCTTTTTCTTTTCCTTTTACAACAAAAACACAGGAAAAAAAAAAGAAAAAAAAGAAATCAAAACGACATCGTTTTAATGTCGAGCCAAATTCAAACCATTAAATTACTAACTACGTAGCGGGGTCGTAATAATAATTAGTTGTATTTGGTGAAAAAGTCGAACCTCTCGGTCTCCGCTAAACCTAAGTTCCGTGGTCCCAAGCCCCGGGTTCGGATCTCTCTCTCCCTCTCTATCTCCGTACTTTTTGTATGAACTGCAAACAGGAAACCCCTCAACTCAATCCCTCAAAACACATCACTCATTTGTTGTCTCTCTTCTTTGTTCAAACTTTACCCGGCAAAACATCAATTCAATTCATACCCTAATAAATACACGTTCTTCTCTCTCTCTCTCTCTCTCTCTATATATATACATCATCACTATAATATGTAGAGTAGAATATATACACACACAAACCCCTCTTCTCTCTCTCTCTCTATATATATATATATATATCATCTTCTGTATAGCATTTGAAGTTAGAGAGAGAAAGTGATGGCATCAGGTGGCGGTGGTGGCGGTTACAGGAACGGCATTCACAAGGCGGCGGTGAAGGTGGATCGGCCGTTCTCTGCTCCGTCGAACCTCCGACCTTCTTCTTCCTTCAAATCGAAGCTTCCTCCGGCGCCGGCGACTGCCAATGGCCGCCGTAGCAGCCCTGGCTCCCACGGCGGAGCCGACTCCGGTGAGTTCCGTACAACTCAATACGTTGTTTAGTTGTTGCTGTTCTTCTTCTTCTTCTTCACATCGATTCTACTATGCAATTTGGTCACTCACTCCATTTTTTTCACGACATTAATTTTACAATGCGATCCTGAGACTTGTACTTCTTGACTAAATTCGATTACATATGTGATTTAGGAATATTGTACGATGATACCAAGGGGCTTGTGTTGTACGTCATATTTCAACTTAATTCAACAAATGTGGTTTGGAAGCTTGTTCTGTTACTTCACATTCAAGTGGATTTCATGTGCTGATTTAGAAACATGTTCTTTAGTTGGAGAGTTTGAGTTCAAATGCATCAGTAATTGGTTTTACTTCTCTAATAAAAGGTGGATTTAATCGATCTTAGATCTTAGTATTCTGGAATTGTGAACAATATTGCATATATATGGGTAAAAAAAATGATAAAATATGGTCTCCAATGTAAAGGTGCAATCATATAAATGTTTGCATCTGTATGATTGTAAATATGTTTGTTTATGTTCCTAGGTCTTATATTTAAGTATTTTAGGCGTAATTTTGCAAACAACCTTAGGATTTGACCAAACCACACCAAACTAAACCAAGCCTTAAGTCCTATTATTTGCGGTTGGCTACATGAATCCTTATTCTCTACTTGACTCCATCAACGGTCATTTGGTTAGTCAAATTAAGGAGATTCATATATTTATTTACTACACTAGCTTACGCCAATCTAGGTCTATCCCTTTTCCTAGCACTTCCATCTACCATCACTGTATTGCATCTCTTCATTACTGTATCTATTGGTCTCTGTTATATATAATCAAACCTTCTCAATCTAGCATCTCTCAACTTTTCTTCTATCGATACTACCGTTACCCATTCACGAATATACTCATTCTTAACTCTGTGTTAAACCTTAGGATTTGACCAATGTAACAAAAATTCCTCTGTTAGATAGACTAGTGGAAATGGACAGAGGATTATGGTTGTTATCAAGTTGAAAGATTAAGGTTTAATTTCAAAACATTAAAAACCCAAGACTTAATTTGTTACATGAGCCAAATACTAGGGTTATTTTTGTAATTTTTCCTAAATTTTATATTTAATTGTGTAATTTAACAACTTTGTTCAATGTTACATTGTTCGGTCTGTTTCTTAACCGCTTAAGCTTTTCTAACAATTGGTGATTTAACATATACATTATGCAAAAACTTATGTGTTCGACCATTACCCAAAAAATAGCACACATTCCCCAAAAAATAACACACATTCTTGCAAAAATCATCCCCTTTCATATGGGAGATGTTACAATGTGCACCCTCAAAAAGGTGTATATATATGATATGTCTTTCATAATTTTTTTATAAAATTTCATAACTTAAACACAAAATGTTATAACTTTTTAACTACAAAAGTTATAACTTTTTTCACTGAAAAATGTCATAACAAAATCGCGAAGTGTCATAACAAAAATCACAAAATGTCATAATATTATCATTCTTAATTTTAGGGTGCATATCATAAATTCGTTATTCATAATTTTACTACAAAATGTCATAAGACACATCATAGACAATCATAATATTCATCATAAAAAATCATAACTTTTTTACGATGTACATCATTTGAAAATATGCATATTGTAAATTTCTCCCTTTCGTATACTACTTCAAATACATATTTGCAATCAACAACTTTTTTTCCATAAACTATGTTACAAAGACTCAAGTACGGGTGTCAGATGCGAGAATGTGTCTTAGGTATCCAAGTTATCTAATTTCATGTCCAAGGGACATACTTCTTTTGTTTTCTAGGGTAAAATAGTATTCACAAGGTACCATAGAGCATTTTATGCAAAATATGGAGGATTAAGCATGGTTTTATGGTAAATTCGTATTACTAAATATAGTTGTTAGGTGAATGTCCCATTACATATGTTGGACACATATTTCATATTCTTACCCAATTGTTGAGTGTTCGACACTGGTACTCCATACATTTGGAAGAGCCCATGTAACACATTCCAAGAGTAGTCATATCTTACTACATGTTTCCATTGCCATGTATTTGCCCAACAAGGTTGATTAAATTGTTTGGAATGGCAAATATGGGATATACCTAATCCTCCTTTAATTGTACTGTTCACTGAATACCTACCAGTCTACCAAGTGCTTACTTGGGCTCTTCGCCCAATTAAAAGCTAACAATTTTGTCATGTATATGCATTCACATCTTTTATAAGTTATTCTTTTGAATATTACAAATTAAGCTCCAAATTTGTAAGTTTTTCTGAAATTTGTTTTTCAAGTGACAATCTTGATCTTTTAAGTTGTCATTCTGTATTTTAGGTTTTGTAATAAATATCGTAGTGTTTAAATTTCCTCTGATTAAACTACTATTATCATTTAGCATTCATATTTAATTGCTAGGTCAGATTATTTGACTTCCCCAGTTTCATGCCAAACAACGAATAATGAAATTGTACTGATGTTTTGGTGATTCTGGACAGTTTCCGGAAGAGTACGAGTGGCTGTGAGATTGCGACCTCGAAATGATGAGGAGCTGGTGGCAGATGCAGATTTTGCAGATTGTGTGGAATTGCAGCCAGAGGTTTGTGATTCCTATATTTTTGTGTTTTAGTTAGAGATGTTTTGAATTTTGTCCTATAGTGCCATTGTTTATTGTATAGTTTTTCTATTCCTCAGCTTAAAAGGTTGAAACTTCGAAAGAACAATTGGGATTCAGATACCTATGAATTTGATGAGGTGCTCACTGAATTTGCATCACAGAAGCGTGTCTATGAAGTTGTCGCAAAGCCTGTTGTGGAGGTAAGTTTGTTTTGTTTGTGGTATATTGAAATGGAACATCCTGCAATTAGTTGTTGGGTTGATTTGGCTTGTAGGAATAGCTATGCATCATATGTGCACAACTGATGTTTCAAGTAAGCTTTTTTTGTTTTGGGTCTCATCTACCTTTGTATGTAAAGCAATTTTTTTTTTAAAGTTGAAAGGTGTTCTTTTACTTGGGGAATAAATTATTGTGTATAGAGGAGGAAAGTGCTAGCCGTAGGCAGCTATTTTATTGAATATTTCAGCTCTTGAGAAAAAATGAAAAAGAAAAAGAAAAGGGTTAAACAACTCAATTATATGTTTATGTGTAAATATACTATGTGTAAATCCTATTTTGAATCGTTTAAATGCTAGGTTGTTCTCCTTAAGTGACGTGTTGTGCCTGTCTCCGGGTGTTTTGAAAAGTGAGCAAGGGGCGCTGTATCGACGCCTGGGTGCGGTGAAAAATGGGCAAAGGTTCCGCGTTTTTCTGGACGAGTGTGGGTAAAGAAGCTAGTCCAAGTCTATAGGTTTAGGATAGCCACTTGGAATATAGGAACCTTAACTGGTAAGACGATGGAATTGGTAAATGTTATGATTAGGAGGAGAGTTAGTATAGCTTGCGTACAAGAAACTAAGTGGACGGGTGAGAAAGCTAAGAAAATTGAGGATACCGATTTTAAACTGTATTATAGTGGTAAGGATAGACGCAGGAATGGGGTAGGAATCATAATTGCCAAGGGTCTTGTGGAGAATATAGTGGCGGTCAATATAAAAGGGGATATGATTATGTTAGTTAAACTAGTTATTGGAGGGAATATAGTGAACGTTATTAGTGCATACGCCCCTCAAGTAGGATTAGATGATCAGTCTAAGAGGGATTTTTGGGAGCAAATGGATGAGATCTTACAGGAAATACCTGTAGGAGAGAACTTGGTTATAGGTAGAGATTTTAATGGCCATGTAGGCATAGACAAACTAGGCTATGAAAGGGTGCATGGTGGATGCGGTTTTGGTGACAGAAATGAGATTGGAGAGAATATCTTAGATTTTGCGTTAGCTTCTGACCTGGTGGTGGCCAATACTATGTATAAGAAGTGAGAGGAGCATTTGATAACCTTTAAGGGTGGGTCAGTTAAGAGCCAAATAGATTACTTTTTAGTGAGAAAAGTGGACCGTCTAAAATGCAATAATTGTAAGGTAATTCCTAGAGAGAGCCTGGCCTCTCAACATAGGATTTTGGTACTAGATTTATGTTTTAGAGGGCAATACCAAATTCGGAAGGATGGTGGGTGTTGTAGGACGAGATAGTGGACCTAAAAGGGGATAAACTAGAAATATTTAAGAATAGAATGGATAAGGAAGGTATTTGAGACTTGGAAGATGATGCTAACATTATGTGGAACTCGATGGCCAATTGTATGAGGAGAATCTCAAGGAAAGTGCTTGGAGAGTCGAAAGGAACGGGACCCAGCTCCAGGAAAACTTGGTGGTGGAGGGAAGAGGTTCAAACGATAGTTAAAGCAAAAAAAGTGCTTTAAAAAGTGGCAGAATGATAAAATTGAGGAGAACCTTAAGAGCTATAGATTGGCTAATAAAGAGGTCAAGAAAGTAGTGAGAGAGATTAAGTTGAAAGCTTATAACGACCTATACATTAGACTAGATAGTAAGGAGGGGGAGAAGAGGGTATACAAACTTGCTAAGATACGGGAGAGAAAAACAAGAGATTTTAATCAAATTAAGTGCATTAAGAGTGAGGATTCTAAGGTATTGGTGAAGGATGAAGAGATTAAGGAAAGATGGAAGAATTATTTTGAGAAACTATTAGATGAAGAACATAGAGGTACGACAATAGGGGAAGAAATAGCCAGTAATACGATAAACCAAGACTATAGGTTCTATCGTAGGATCAGGAACTTTGAAGTGGAGATTGCACTTAAGAAGATGAAATCAAATAAGGCTTTAAGACTCGATGATATTCCTATTGAAGCTTAGAAGTGTTTGGGTAAAAAGGAAGTTGTTTGGTTGACTAGGTTATTTAGTAAAATTTTGTTGACTAGGAACATGCCGGATGAGTGGAGGAAGAGTATTTTAGTGCCAATCTATAAGAATAAAGGAGATGTCCAGAATTGCAACAACTGTAGAGGAATTAAGCTAATGTGTCATATAATGAAAGTGTGGGAGAGGGTGATGGAACGCCGATTGCGAGATATAACAGAGGTGTCAGAGAATCAATTTGGGTTTATGCTTGGCAAGTTAACAATGGAAGCGATCTATTTTTGAGGAGAGTAATAGAAAAATATAGAGAAAAGAAAAGAGACATTCATATGGTATTTATCGACTTTGAGAAAACATATGATAGAGTGCCCTGGGATATAATATGGTGGGTGTTAGAGAAGAAAGGGGTGATAAAAGGTTACATTGATGTGATTAGAGACATGTATGAAGGGGTAGTGACCACTATTAGATCGCTTGCTGGAGAGACAAATGAATTTCCTATCACTGTAGGGTTACGCCAAGAATCTACTTTAAGTCCTTATCTTTTTGCTTTAGTTATGGATGAGTTGATGAGAAATATTCAGGATGACGTGCTATGGTGTATGCTTTTTGCAGGCGATATCGTGCTAGTGGATGAGACTAGAGAATGAGTTAACACAAAGTTGGAGATTTAGAGAAAAGCTCTTGAATCTAAAGGATGTCAGATAAGCAGAACTAAGACAGAGTATATGGAGTATAAATTTAGTAACAGTAATAATGAAAGCAGAGGAGAAGTGAAGATTGAGAACCAAGAGCTGTCTAAGAGTAAATATTTTTGTTATTTAGAGTTGATTATCATAATAGCGGGGGAGATTGATGCAGATGTAGCCCATAGGACTAAGGCAGGATGGTGCAAGTTTAGAAGTGCATCTGGGGTACTGTGCAATAAACGAATACCCACTAGACTAAAAGGTAAGTTCTATAGAACGGTTATTAGACCAGCGATGCTGTATGGGATGGAGTGTTGGGCAACCAAAAAACAACATATAGATAAGATGAGTGTGGCTGAAATGAGGATGCTAAGGTAGATGTGTGGCAAGACTAGATAAGACATAATTAGGAATGAGTATATTCGAGAATGGGTAGGAGTAGTACCGATAGAAGATAAGTTGAGAGAATCGATTGAGATGGTTTGGTCATATTCAACGGAGACCAACAGAGGCAGTAGTGAAGAGATGCGATGTTGTAATGATAGATCTCGAAATGATGAGGAGCTGGTGGCAGATGCAGATTTTGCAGATTGTGTGGAATTGCAGCCAGAGGTTTGTGATTCCTATATTTTTGTGTTTTAGTTAGAGATGTTTTGAATTTTGTCCTATAGTGCCATTGTTTATTGTATAGTTTTTCTATTCCTCAGCTTAAAAGGTTGAAACTTCGAAAGAACAATTGGGATTCAGATACCTATGAATTTGATGAGGTGCTCACTGAATTTGCATCACAGAAGCGTGTCTATGAAGTTGTCGCAAAGCCTGTTGTGGAGGTAAGTTTGTTTTGTTTGTGGTATATTGAAATGGAACATCCTGCAATTAGTTGTTGGGTTGATTTGGCTTGTAGGAATAGCTATGCATCATATGTGCACAACTGATGTTTCAAGTAAGCTTTTTTTGTTTTGGGTCTCATCTACCTTTGTATGTAAAGCAATTTTTTTTTTTTTAAAGTTGAAAGGTGTTCTTTTACTTGGGGAATAAATTATTGTGTATAGAGGAGGAAAGTGCTAGCCGCAGGCAACTATTTTATTGAATATTTCAGCTCTTGAGAAAAAAAGAAAAAGAAAAGGGTTAAACAACTCAATTATATGTTTATGTGTAAATATACTATGTAAATCCTATTTTGAATCGATTAAATGCTAAGTCGTTCCCTTAAGTGATGCGTTGCGCCTGTCTCCGGGTGTTTTGAAAAGTGAGGAAGGGGGCGCTGTATCGACGCCTGGGTGCGGTAAAAAATGGACAAAGGTTCCACGTTTTTCTGGACGAGTGTGGGTAAAGAAGCTAATCCAAGTCTATAGGTTTAGGATAGCCACTTGGAATATAGGAATCTTAACTGGTAAGACGATGGAATTGGTAAATGTTATGATTAGGAGGAGAGTTAGCATAGCTTGCGTACAAGAAACTAAGTGGACGGGTGAGAAAGCTAAGGAAATTGAGGATACCGGTTTTAAACTGTATTATAGTGGTAAGGATAGACGCAGGAATGGGGTAGGAATCATAATTGCCAAGGGTCTTGTGGAGAATATAGTGGCGGTCATTAGAAAAGGGGATATGATTATGCTAGTTAAACTAGTTATTGGAGGGAATATAGTGAACGTTATTAGTGTATACGCCCCTCAAGTAGGATTAGATGATCAGTCTAAGAGGGAATTTTGGGAGCAAATGGATGAGATCCATGGTTTTAAAAAGCGGCCGCAACCGTTACGTAACGCCGTTACGTAACGGTTTTGGAGGTTACCGTCACCCGTTACGGCCGCTTTTGCAGTGTGATTGAGATTCACAGGTGTGTCGGCCGTAGCGGCTGCCGTAGCGGTCGTAACAGTGCCGTAACAGCCTATTACACACCGTTACGTAACGGTTCTAAACTGTTTCTTTCAAAAAAAATACAAAAAAAAGCTAAAATAAAATGTAAAAAACTCAGTTTATAATGATTTAAAAATATGAAATATATTGGATCATACTTAAAAATTTATAAAAATTGGTCAATATTTATTTTTAACCCAATAAATATGATCATGGAAAAAAAATATGCGTATCGGTAAGTTTTTTTCAAATTGTGCGAAAAATAAAAAAATTCACAGTTCCGGTTACCGCAACCGTTACACTACGACCTTTACACCCCGCAACCGCAACCGCGTCACCGCCACCGTTACGGCGACCGCAACCGTTTTTCAGAACCTTGATGAGATCTTACAGGAAATACCCGTAGGAGAGAACCTGGTTATAGGTAGAGATTTTAATGGCCGTGTAGGCATA